AGACTCATTTACCAAGAAATTTGTTTTGCATGCACATGTATAAAAATTCCGGCTTTTATCCAACGCAATTATAGGTTTGAACGTTGTTTTCAATTTAGACTTGTTAATATTTTTTCGTTTGGGTTTGTATTATATTTGCCTTCGGGTTTATATGATCTGTTCATCCTATTTCGACTCCTTCCAAATACAGTTTCGATTCCTAACATCACTGAAGAGACATTAATTGTCGAAATCCGGATATGGTGTACTAATTTTTGCACCTTTTGTTTGCGGTATACCATCTTTTCCGCAGGTTTATTGTTTTCTGTTTGATATTAAATTAATATTTAAGATCCATTTTGTTACACCTGGTGATCATTTTATTTGGCAATCGCCAAAGGCAGTCAGCAGGGATGAAGAACATCCGTTGTTCGACCTGCTAGTCAAATGCGTGTTGTTAAAATTTACTTTGTCACTGTTTTGGTCTTTTGGAAAATGCTGTTTGTGCTGTATTTAGACCCCTTTACCAAGAAATTTATTTTGCATGCACATGTATAAAAATTGCGGTTTTTATCCAACGCAATCATAGGTTTGAACGTTGTTTTCAATTTAGACTTGTTTATATTTTTTCGTTTGGGTTTGTATTATATTTGCCTTCGGGTTTATATGATCCGTTCATCCTATTTCGACTCTTCAAAATTCAAGAGTCTATCCTAAATTGAGGTAAATTATATGGCCTTCCAAATACAGTTTCGATTCCTAACATCACTGAAGAGACATTAATTGTCGAAATCCGGATATGGTGTACTAATTTTTGCACCTTTTGTTTGCGGTATACCATCTTTTCCGCAAGTTTATTGTTTTCTGTTTGAAATTAAATTAATATTTAAGATCCATTTTGTTTCATCTGGTGATCATTTTATTTGGCAATCGCCAATGGCAGTCAGCAGGGTTTAACAACATCCGTTGTTCGACCTGCTAGTCAAATGCGTGTTGTAAAAATATACTTTGTCACTTTTTTGGTCTTTTGGAAAATGTTTTTTGTGCTGTATTTAAACCCCTTTACCAAGAAATTTGTTTTGCATGCACATGTATAAAAATTGCAGTTTTTATCCAACGCAATCATAGGTTTGAACGTTGTTTTCAATTTAGACTTGTTTATATTTTTTCGTTTGGGCTTGAATTTTATTTGCCTTCGGGTTTATATGATCCGTTCATCCTATTTCGACTCTTCAAAATTCAAGAGTCTATCCTAAATTGAGGTAAATTATATGGCCTTCCAAATACCGTTTCGATTCCTAACATCACTGAAGAGACATTAATTGTCGAAATCCAAATATGGTGTACTTAATTTTTGCACCTTTTTGTTTGCGGTATACCATCTTTTCCGCAAGTTTATTGTTTTCTGTTTTATATTAAATTAATATTTAAGATCCATTTTGTTACATCTGATGATCATTTTACTTGGCAATCGCCAATGGCAGTCAGTAGGGTTTAAGAACATCCGTTGTTCAACCTGCTAGTCAAATGCGTGTTGTTAAAATATACTTTGTTACTTTTTTGGTCTTTTGGAAAATGTTGTTTGTGCTGTATTTGTACCCCTTTACCAAGAAATTTGTTTTGCATGCACATGTATAAAAATTGCGGTTTTTATCCAACGCAATCATAGGTTTGAACGTTGTTTTCAATTTAGACTTGTTTATATTTTTTTCGTTTGGGTTTGTATTATATTTCCCTTCGAGTTTATATGATCTGTTCATCCTATTTCGACCCTTCACAATTCAAGAGGCTATCCTTAATTGAGGTAAATTATATGGCCTTCCAAATACAGTTTCGATTCCTAACATCACTGAAGAGACATTAATTGTCGAAATCCGGATATGGTGTACTAATTTTTGCACCTTTTGTTTGCGGTATACCATCTTTTCCGCAAGTTTATTGTTTTCTGTTTGAAATTAAATTAATATTAAAGATCCATTTTGTTACATCTGGTGATCATTTTATTTGGCAATCGCCAATGGCAGTCAGCAGGGTTTAACAACATCCGTTGTTCGACCTGCTAGTCAAATGCGTGTTGTAAAAATATACTTTGTCACTTTTTTGGTCTTTTGGAAAATGTTTTTTGTGCTGTATTTAAACCCCTTTACCAAGAAATTTGTTTTGCATGCACATGTATAAAAATTGCAGTTTTTATCCAACGCAATCATAGGTTTGAACGTTGTTTTCAATTTAGACTTGTTTATATTTTTTCGTTTGGGCTTGAATTTTATTTGCCTTCGGGTTTATATGATCCGTTCATCCTATTTCGACTCTTCAAAATTCAAGAGTCTATCCTAAATTGAGGCAAATTATATGGCCTTCCAAATACCGTTTCGATTCCTAACATCACTGAAGAGACATTAATTGTCGAAATCCAAATATGGTGTACTTAATTTTTGCACCTTTTTGTTTGCGGTATACCATCTTTTCCGCAAGTTTATTGTTTTCTGTTTTATATTAAATTAATATTTAAGATCCATTTTGTTACATCTGATGATCATTTTATTTGGCAATCGCCAATGGCAGTCAGCAGGGTTTAAGAACATCCGTTGTTCGACCTCCTTGTCAAATGCATGTTGTTAAAATATACTTTGTCACTTTTTTGGTCTTTTGGAAAATGTTGTTTGTGCTGTATTTGTACCCCTTTACCAAGAAATTTGTTTTGCATGCACATGTATAAAAATTGCGGTTTTTATCCAACGCAATCATAGGTTTGAACGTTGTTTTCAATTTAGACTTGTCTATATTTTTTTCGTTTGGGTTTGTATTATATTTCCCTTCGAGTTTATATGATCTGTTCATCCTATTTCGACTCTTCACAATTCAAGAGGCTATCCAAAATTGAGGTATATTATATGGCCTTCAAAATACAGTTTCGATTCCGAACATCACTGAAGAGAAATTAATTGTCGAAATCCGGATATGGTGTACTAATTTTTGCACCTTTTGTTTGCGATATACCATCTTTTCCGCAAGTTTATTGTTTTCTGTTTGATATTAAATTAATATTAAAGATCCATTTTGTTACATCTGATGATCATTTTATTTGGCAATCGCCAATGGCAGTCAGTAGGGTTTAAGAACATCCGTTGTTCAACCTGCTAGTCAAATGCGTGTTGTTAAAATATACTTTGTCACTTTTTTGGTCTTTTGGAAAATGTTGTTTTGTGCTGTATTTAGACCCCTTTACCAAGACATTTGTTTTGCATGCACATGTATAAAAATTGCGGTTTTAAACCAACGCAATCATAGTTTCGAACGTTGTTTTCAATTTAGACTTGTTTATATTTTTTCGTTCGGGTTTGTATTATATTTGCCTTTGGGTTTATATGATCTGTTCATCCTATTTCGACTCTTCACAATTCAAGAGTCTATCCTAAATTGAGGTAAATTATATAGCCTTCCAAATACCGTTTCGATTCCGAACATCACTGAGGAGACATTAATTGTCGAAATCCGGATATGGTGTACTAATTTTTGCACCTTTTGTTTGCGGTATACCATCTTTTCCGCAAGTTTATTGTTTTCTGTTTCATATTAAATTAATATTTAAGATCCATTTTGTTACATCTGATGATCATTTTATTTGGCAATCGCAAATGGCAGTCAGCAGGGTTTAAGAACATCCGTTGTTCGACCTGCTTGTCAAACGCGTGTTGTTAAAATATACTTTGTCACTTTTTTGGACTTTTGGAAAATGTTGTTTGTGCTGTATTTAGACCCCTTTACCAAGAAATTTGTTTTGCATGCACATGTATAAAAATTGCGGTTTTTATCCAACGCAATCATAGGTTTGAACGTTGTTTTCAACTTTTTTATATTTTTTCGTTTGGGCTTGCATTATTTTTGCCTTCGGGTTGATATGATCCGTTCACCCTATTTCGACTCTTCAAAATTCAAGACTATATCCTAAATTGAGGTAAATTATATGGCCTTCCAAATACCGTTTCGATTCCTAACATCACTGAAGAGAAATTAATTGTCGAAATCCGGATATGGTGTACTAATTTTTGCACCTTTTGTTTGCGGTATACCATCTTTTCCGGAAGTTTATTGTTTCCTGTTTGATATTAAATTAATATTTAAGATCCATTTTGTTACATCTGATGATCATTTTGTTTGGCAATCGCCAATGGCAGTCAGCAGGATTTAAGAACATCCGTTGTCGACCTGCTAGTCAAATGCGTGTTGTAAAAATATACTTTGTCACTTTTTTGGTCTTTTGGAAAATGTTGTTTGTGCTGTATTTAGACCCCTTTACCAAGAAATTTGTTTTGCATGCACATGTATAAAAATTGCGGTTTTTATCCAACGCAATCATAGTTCTGAACGTTGTTTTCAATTTAGACTTGTTTATATTTTTTCGTTTGGGCTTGTATTATATTTGCCTTCGGGTTTATATGATCCGTTCATCCTATTTCGACTCTTCAAAATTCAAGAGTCTATCCTAAATTGAGGTAAATTATATGGCCTTCCAAATACCGTTTCGATTCCTAACTTTACTGAAGAGACATTAATTGTCGAAATTCGGACATGGTGTACTAACTTTTGCACCTTTTGTTTGCGGTATACCATCTTTTCCGCAAGTTTATTGTTTTCTGTTTTTTTATCCACTCAATCATAGGTTTGAACGTTGTTTTAAATTAAGACTTGTATATATATATATATATATATAGCACGCCTTTTACGAGATAACGTATATAATCATTTTATCTTAAAAACTAATAGGGTTCTGAGCTCCAGTTCTACCCAAAGAAAAAAGGGGGATGCTATGTATTAACGTGAAAAACATTTAGAAGTAGAACAAAGAAGCACTAAAGAAAACAAATATTGATATTTGTTTAAGTGGAATTGAAATCGAAAAGATGTAATTTTAATAATGAATAAAGATATTTCATATTTTTTGCCTGGTTATCAATTCAAGCATTGTATCAATTGAGTCTTACAGACGTTTGAATTAAAACATTATAAATGAATTTCAGGTACATCTATAACACTTATTCCAGAGGGCACAATTCAAATTGGCCATGGGTGTACCATTAAAATATCAGCAAGAATACAAAAGAAATCGGAATGCGATTTCAGATTGTACTGGCAGAAAATTGGAAGTAGCAATGAAGCTAAAAACATTTCATTTTGTAACACAATTAAATATGCTGGTTCTAAAAGTAAAACTTTAGCACCATCACTTTTCATCAATAAGGCAGTGAAGGAAGATACTGGTATATATCAACTTAGATATGAAAGTCTCAAAGAAGTGGTTATAAGTCGCCAGATCGCCGTTCAAGTTTTTGGAGGTAAGTTTTGATTTCCAGTAGTTGTTGTAGAACAATTTTTGGGAATATGAATAGCAAAGATCATTGAGAGATGGGGGTGAAAGGACAGTATTTTGTTACCATCACTATAAGTAAGCTTAAAAGGATCGTTTGAGATCCAAAATTAATATAATTACTGTAAAGAGATTCTAAGGATTTAATACTTGATGTGAAAATCGCAATGCATAAAGCATACTAAGAAATAAGTAAAGACAATCGATGATGATGTTCCTGGCTTGAAATCGTGTATCTCACTACAGTCTCTAATGTTGGTGATATATTTTCAAATACAAATACTTATATAATTGATCCATACAGGGTATTATCTATTTGTATAAACTTTGTCAACATATTTGATAAAATGTTCCTACATGGTTGTAAGCGTACCACTCAGAGGGAAATTATTCGTTGTACATTTACTCGATGCAAATGTATAAGTATTAGAATTCAGACATCGTTTTTTTTCATAATGCTTTGTTCCTTTTGCTAACATCACTATGTCGTGTTTTGATGTGGGATTGTTTAGACCACATCCATAGAACCTATATATTTGATTTATACGGTATGAATGCACGTGCAAATAATTTTCTTTATACATTTTCATTTTCTCTCTGATTTTTCTTGAAAGCTTGAATTTCAATAATCTTTTGGGTATTTTGTGGTGTTAGTTTACTATGCACTTTAACCTCTTTTTTTTTGCGAAAGTATAAAGGATGTAGAAACAAAGGGTGGGATACGCTTAACAGTAACATTTGTCAGTTTAGACATCTGACATGACCGTTCGATAATACGAATAAACATAGGTCCAAAAAACTTGCTAGCCCTGCATAAAAATAAACAAATAAAACATCACATCTAACAAGTAGGTAATGCAAAATGGGTCGACCAGGAGAGAAAAGGAGAAATCAATAAAAAAAACGAAAAAACAAATATTAGAAACAACAATCAACGACAACCACTTAATTACAGGCTTCTGACTTGGGACAGACACATATAGAATGTGGCGGGGTTAGACATGTTTGCTGGCGCCAAACCCTCCCCTAACCTTGGACAGTGGTACAACAGTACGACATTAGAACAAACTGAAAATCAGTTGATAAGGCTTACCTCATCAGATCGATACAAAGCCAAAAACAACTAACAAAAACACATACCGGACGTGGCAGGGAATTTATACGTCCTACACAACAAATAAGACACTAAGAACATATCTGATAGTACTCGCAGTCATTAACAGTCAAAGTAAAACATGACCTTGTGCAATGCCCAACTATAGGTAACGACAGATTGTAGAACCGTGAATGTGCATATTTATAACAATAATATTTTGATTTATATTTTAATTTATTGAATTGGTAAGACTGCCACTCTAAAAATTGACAGGGCGAAATCCCGTAAATGTATGAAAACTTTTTATAATAAAAGTATAAAAGGTACTTTTTTATGAAATTTTTTTTTGTAAATTAATCGAAATCTATTTGTTATGCCGCATTTTTTTTTTTCTTTTCTGAAAGGATTGTAAAGGGTACAACCACTGTGAAACCTGAATGAGGAAATTTCGTCTTTAATGTTTCATGTTTAAAACAACAAACACGAAGGCTAACACATAAACATTAAACAAGATTCTTAGTACCTTCATTTGTGTTATTTTCTCAAAATCTAGATTTAAAGGTCACGATAAAATTGCAAAAAAGTACATACCAATATAATTTGAAAATATCAACATACTGCAGTTTAAGTCAATATATCGATTCCAATTACAGCTACAGCACTATCTTCAATTTTTATAAATTGACATTGCGCAATAGTGAGAATGATATTTATTTATCTTTAAAATATCGGCTTCATTGGTTTAATCTAAAGAAATCAATATAGTGAGTTCCCCGTTCTATAATTTCAGGATTTTTTTTTAAAGTTTTAATAAATAGCTAACAGAAAGTTGTATTGTCAAAAGGACCGAATAAGGACTCAGAAATAAGGAAAATGCCATATTGTTTCGAAGATATTCAGTTACGAAAATACACCTTACATTTCTAATATCATAAGAATAAATTGTTATGATTTAACAAAAACAATACAGCATTCTGAATATCAAAATTTGGCGAAAACATACGTAAGAGGTTTTGTAAAAAGATCTATTGATTGGAAAAAGAATTTCCATTTTCACAATATTTTACAGTTTTAAAACCATAAAGATTGTTTGTGGTTCAAATATTTATTGATCAGTATCCATAAGAAAATATAACATTTTGATAGGACCTCAAACTTCCGTTGAAACTGTAGTTGTTAGGTTTCTGTTTCATTGATTCAACCGTATCAGCACCGTTTAAGCATCATTTTACATATAACTTCTAATACAGATGTTTCATGCATGTTCATGACGAGAAAAAAATAACAGTTAAATCATTACAATAGGTAGCTTCTGCAAGATCGGTTGACCGGGAAAAGGGCGGGAAATTCGGACTGCCGCTGGAAAATTATGATATATTGGTTAGGAACAGACACATGCTACCACTCAAAGAGTTTTTGCACATGTTTTGTAACGCACAAATATGGTGGTACTGTCCATACATCGGGTTTAACGTCCCTATACTTACCAGACTAAACTGCTTATTTATAATTCCACACAGACAAACAGACACACAAGGTTAGCAAGGGTCTTACTGCCGGACTTGAGAAGTCCAGGTATTAACATATATCTATACCCATGTCAACCTTTGTGTTGCAACTGTCAATGAATCTGCTATTTGATGTGGTTTATGTCGAAGGAAAAGGTTTTCAGCGAACTGAAGGAATGGATTGAACCGAGTTTATTATCGCTTTCATTCCAGGCAATGGCTTATAACAATTTGTCATCCGTTCATTTGTTAGCATTCCATATATTTACATCTTTTTGCCTCAGATTTTTATATCGCCACAATATCTTCCTGATGCAATTTTCAGCTTTAACCAGAACTGCGATGGCATCAGACGGGTTTCAGGTACTAGATCTATTGGCCGAATGGTTAAAAGGTGAATAATGACGTTGTTCACAAGTGTTGTCGGTTCTGCTTCTCCATAAGGTATGCTGTGGTTTTTCTGTATTCGCCTTCCAAAAAAAATAATAACTCTAGGTTTGATTGATAATTAGACAATCTGTCTTGATGTGGATTACTTTTTCAGCACCAGAACTATTCCGTTTGGGCCGGGTTGCGACTCTTATTCCCGAAGGCTTTCATCGAAATAAATAATGGTAGTGTATTTAATTAGAAGATTTTTAGAAGTCATGAATAGTTACGATACTTTCGCCGGAGATGCAGGGGTTTAAATGGCATCGTCTCCTGATTGAACCTAAACGTGAAGAGACGATACCATTTAACTTGTCCTGCTGTGACGGAGTCATTCTTTTTCTTGGTTTCGGTTTCCTTTACAACTGGGAATTCACTTCAGTGGCACCCTTCTCGACACCTTGTATTGTAGCATCAGGGACTGCAGTCAAAGGATTTGCCCACAAGCATTCATGCAGTGAAAGGTGTGACCGCTCATTCAAAAGTTTTGCAGAATCTTCCAAAAGACTTGTACTTGCATTGATAAACGGGATTTTTGTAGTCAGTGTTTTCAATGTGCTAGCTACACTTCAATGCATCGAGTATACAAGAAGCTACCATTTTATTTTAACCCCACCTTTCCAGTTCTAAAGCATGTAAAGGAAGGGCTTCAGAGATCAAGACTATCGAACAGTTGGTTGATGTAGTAGGGTATATCAACACCTTGAATTCTAATGTCGTTTTTATCCTTCCTATATTTGACACGATGACTTTCAGCCGTTAACTTCTGTTTGTCATTGATGTTCCAGAAAGGTCATCAGTATTTGTAAACATTGCCTTGGTATCCTTATGAACCTCTTCGTGTATGTCGATATCCTCCGGCTCGACCGTCTCATGCCGTTTCCTGATAGTACGTTCAAACATAACACAAGCGTACGCCTTTATTGAATGCCCCTAAGCATTCGCTGTAGGATAGTCATCCTTCAAAGGTTACAGATATGTAACTGAGGTAAATGCCGTTGTCTCAGATCTCAGATCGAAGGTGTTGTCAGCTTTTTTGGTTAAAGAGAACTCAAATTTCTGTGTTGCCTGTGGACAAAATTCAATGCGGGTTTTTAAAGTTTCGTACATCATTTTGTCGTTTTTACGAATGTTTTTGATAGAAATCTGATACTTGAAGAATGCTTGATTGTCTTATAGCTTTACATTGCAATAAAACAAATACTCGCTTGGATTTCAAAACTGTTAGATACAGGAGTAGAAAAGTGTTATCCTCTTTTCTATCTTTCAAGTTCATTTCGCCAGAAATCCGATACATCACAAGTATTAGTCTTTATCAAAACACAAATCCTAATCCCTAGGATCACAACGCTGGAGAGTGCGATAGTCGGAAAAGTGAATCCATCTATACAAAATCGGGTTTTTTTTTGTAATTCAGACGCCTTTTTCATTTCCTTAAGGATGTTTTCAAGAGAAATCGTATGCTAAAAGAATGTAAAAATTTGCAGAAAGCTATTGATTGAAACCCTAAAATCCATAGGATTTCAGAAAAGGAAACTCACTATATTGATTTAATAAGTTAGAATTAACAATGTCGATGTTTTTTTAATCGATATCTTCAGTTCTGTTGCTAAGAATCTTTCAGAACTTACCTTGTATTCATTGTTAATTTATTCTTGTCCTGAATTTGCATGAAATAATTGCCACTGGATGTTGAGTAATCAACATTTAATTGATTATATTCTAATCTTCTTTCTAATGACACGATGTTTTTTCCATACATCTTTTTCGGTAGCTTATTTATTTGTATTTTTCTTATTATCTTTCAAAATAGCATAACATGCACTATCTTTTAAAAAAGAATGTAAATCTTTTTTTTTTTTGTATTTTAGTGTATATTGCCATACTACTGTATTTTTAGGTACGAGAAACTGAAAACAGAAATAGGGTTGAATTAGGTCTTTCCACCTTCCCGTGGAAAGACATTTTGATTTTTTTTTTCGCCCGCTTATTTTGTTTCTGAAATGTCGCTTTTGTTTTGCAACATGTCGCTAAGATATTTGGTATATGATATCAAGTAGCTATTGCGCTTTTGAATCTCACCTTTTGTTACCGAACACTTTTTCATATATGAGTTATCTCCCCGTATACCATATTTCTTGCTATCGCTTCTCCTCAGAAAGCATAAAAGTTATCGCTTAAATTTTTTCCCAAACGTCGGAGAGATCTAGAGGTTTTTTTTCTGAGGTTCTTTGTCAATATGCAGGAAATTGAGGTCATGGTCAAATATAAAGGTCATCTTTTAAATTTTTATATGAACTTGTTATCACAAATCCTCAGAAACTGTAAAAGTTATCGACATTAAGTTTTTGTCAAATTGTAAGTTTCGACATGTAAAGAAATTTGGGACGAAGTGGTCTGGTAATTTTTTTAGGAGTTTTCTATCCTTAGATATTCAAAATAAGCTGTTTGTCTTGATAACTTCTTAACCTTACATATTATGGACCTAGGGTCTGTTGATATGACACCCATGACCTTTAACCTAGAAATTGGGATCATTTCAAATTTAATTTGACATTCTAGATTTTGAACTTTCTTATAACTTTATAATTGTACATGATAACGCCCTAAGGTCTTCTGAATCCGGCTGGGCAACATATTACCTTGAAAAAGTAATGGAAGTGGCCCTGTTTGAACTATAAGTAGTATTTTTACGGCACTCATTTCATGTGAAAGTACATAGAAACCATATGTTTTCAGAATCAGTGTGAATCAATCTTTCGTGTGAACTGGAAGTGACATGTTGTTAACCGGAACTTATTAATAATAAATCCCTTATTACAAGCAAAAGTATAAAGAAACCATATATTTTTTGAATAAGTGTTATGAATGCTATCTAATGACACCGGATGTGGCATTTTGTACAACGGAAGTAGTCAATTATATCTCCTTTTCAAGCAAAAGTATAGAAACCGTATCTTTTTCGAATCAGTGTAATGAAAGCTATCATCCTATGACGCCGGAAGTGGCATTATGTAATTCTTCTTTATTTCAAAGGAAAATGATTATATTTTTGAAATCAGTGAAAAGCACAGGAAGTGACTATGTCATTAAACCGGAAGTAACTGATCATCTCCCTTAATCCAAAGAAAAGAATAACAAAGTATATATTTTTGGAATTTGTTTTCGTTTTTTATTTACGAAGATTTCTATCTATTTAAAAACGATTTTACATATCTGTATAAAATTTCATAAAAACCTTATTTATCAACATATGAGGTAAAAAGACCCTCTTTAATGTATTTATAAACTGTTTGCAGTTTGGCAATAAATATAAAAAAGTTTAAAGAATGATAGCATGTTCTTAAAAGAAACACCACGAATCCATTTGTTATAGTTTACCCATGTCCCTTCTTTGTTTTAGATTTACAGTTTGTAAATGATATTGTATGTACATGTATCAGTATAAAGTCCATCATAATTTATTCAGATTTCATTCGAATATTTAATATCTTTTATAGATACGGCAACCAATTCAATATCTGAAGGAGAAAACAACTTCTTGCGATATATAATGTTGTGTAGACTTGGACGGGATTGTACTTTACAATTTTTCAGACATCTCGTAAAAGAAAAGGACTTGCAAAATCATTTAAATAGTCACAAGCAGTTCCTTGAAAAAATATGTCCAAAGCATGAAATACTTGTGTTATTTCCCCGTAAGTATATATTGATGTATATTCTACCTATAATCATTATAATCTTTTATTGTAAACTATAAAATCACTTTGATGAAATAGCCTCATTTACTGATCAGTGTATCCGTTTGTTTGTTCGCCCACTTTGCATCCTGAAGTCCTCTTGAAACATACATAGGATTTCAATGAAACGTTCCAAACTTCAGAGAAAGAAATAAATAGTCAACAGAGGACCTTTCAAAATAAAATCAACAAAGATATCAGACTTTTGATTTGTTACACGGTTGCCATATGTGCAACAGGATTTGTTTAGCCTTCAGGAGCATCTGAGATCAACCCGGTTTTTTTGGCGGGATTCGTGTTGCTAAGACTTTAGTTTTCTCGGTTATGTTTTTCGTACTGCTGTTAAGTCTTTTCGTCCTTTTTCGTTTTTTCCCATGACTTTGTTAATTTGTTTTCGACTTATGAGTTTGAATATCCCTTTGGTATCTTTTTACAACAGACGCGCGTCAAGAACCACCAATGGCATTTGAATTAATATACAGTATAAAGACCAAATCATTTAGCCTACGAACCATTGGAAGCCAAACGTGTTCAAATTGTGCCATGTTTGGGTAAGGTTCATTTATAAAAACTGAAAAAGAATAGAATTGGACGGGTATTTATTTACAAAATCTATTTGACATAATATATAAGTTTGTACTCATATTACTCAATAATATTTCGGTTTTTGTGTAAAATACGATTCAATTCTGAATTTAAACCAGTTTTGTCTTGTTTTTGAAGTTTGATATAAGGGTTTGGCCACCATTTGAATCGTACCGATGTTCAAATTTGTAATAATGGCAATGTAAATTTGTGATTTATAGATCAATTTCGAGTTCTTATTTGTGAATTTGTTATACAATACCGACGGTTGATCCAAGGTCAATCGGCGTAAATGACGTCATTGAACAATCAACGTGTACTATGACGTAATGCCATGAGACATAAAAAATATACAGGAAATGCAGAAAAATGTGAAAGTCGTCTAAACGATCTATATTTTGCCTTGAGGTGCACACATTTTCAGATAGGCTTATTCGAACGTAAAAATAGAGACAAAGGATGCTTTTTAGTTTTAAAATTGTCGAATACATACCGTATTTGAAACAGGGATCATAGAAATATTAACAACAGTATCATTTAGCTTTTATGTGCACATATCGTTATATAATTGTCAGAACAATAATCATAAGCAGTTTTCCGTTTTGCATCATTGCACAGGGCACACGGAATACTAACGATTGATTTGAATACGTTATGCATCTAACGTGAGGGTACCCAAATTGCACCTATTTTGACAGTTTTTTTCACCTACGTTTATTTATGATCTAGATAAAAGTTTCCAGTCTGTGTTTATTATGTAGATGTATCATTATTTACTATATGGTTCCACCAATTTAATTTTGAATCCTTATTGAATCATAGAAAAATGGGTTTGAACAGACCTCCAAACGATCAATGACTCTGTAATGAGGAGTACCCAAATTGCATCCATGCTTAAATTCACATCCATAAAAGTCGAATAACAGATATTTTGTTTTATTTCTTTAAATATTTAGAACAATTTGACATTAGTCCATGCTTACTGTTCATTTTTTAAGAAATAAATCTTGTAACATATTTTATTTGCTAATTTTTAAAAGATGACTTTTTGTGGACGTCGCATATCGACGTTTCCGTACATTTTACTTTTTCCAGTGAACACTTCATCTGTTTATATATACTGTGAACTTTTTGTGTATATTTAAATATGTTTACCTATGCTGAAAGACTGCATAGTGTCAAATCATAAAAATACAAATTGTTTAGTCTCTAGGAAAACTTGTAAGATTTCCTCTGCTATTTTTGCTAAATAGGTGCAATTTGGGTATAGTGACGTTACATTAAGCAGGTCGGGTACACTACCTTATATGGAAAGTCAAAAATTTGCATACTAATGATCTCGGCAATGTACATGTTTGTTTACATAACATGACATTTACCTGGGTAATTGAAAAATCCAGTGCATGATAGACTATACGTGTTTACAATTACCGAGAATTATAATTTTCTGCGTTTCGAAGTATAGAAGAAAATTATTGTACTAACGGTTCTTTCATATATATGTATGGACACGTGATATTAATTGTAGTATCACGTGAGTGGTCATTTTTCGCGGGTTAATTTCCCAATTAGACCATTCTCTCGCCAACTTCGAACTGGTCAAGATGGACACCGAGTTAGATGATTCAATTAAGGCAGTAATTCTACGCGAGGTGAAAAATGCAGTTTCCTCTTCACAGCAAGATCTTCTAAACAGCATAACTACAGTGATGGATAGTAGGCTTACATCTTTCCAGTCAAATCTGCAACAGTCACAGCAGGAGATTTCCCAAACTCAGATAGCCAAGCTTGAAGAAACAATGACTGACAATTATAGTTTTCAGCGTAAAGGAAACGAAAACCAGTATCGTCATGAGGTGAAAGTGTTAACCAAGCTGAAGGAAGCTAAAGCTAACCTGGAGGCTCCAGAATTGGGAATTGATTCTGTGCAGATAGCAAAGATGAAGATTATTGAAGGTATTGACTTAGTGCGTGAAAGGCAAAAACTTATAAAACTGGCCGACTCTTCCCAACTTGGATGGAAAGTCGTCAGTGAGTACGTAGCTAATCCTATCGCTGACGACTCAGAAGACGAAAAGAAAATGATGAGGGCTCAGTCTAGAGCGGAAAGAAAGAGTAAGGCAGAAAAAGTAAAGAAAGGCAAACCAAGACCAACACCTTATAGCAGGAACCCAGAGAAAGAAACCAAATCGGTTAAGCCTGGAAGATGTTTCAAGTGTGGAAATAAGGGTCATTGGATAGACGAATGTCCAGATATGAAAAATAAGATAAGTAATTCTTATTCACAAATTTTAGTTTTTGATAACATTAATGTAATACAAGGTCACTTTGTGCCTGTAGCCAATACTTCAAGTAATAATCTTGTTACAGAAGTGAATACTGTTAAAAATGCTCAGACGGTAATGTGTATTGATACGAATACAACCGTTCAGCATGAATGCATCTCGCCAGTTGGTAGACTCAAGGTCAATATAGGTCAATGGAAATTGATTACCGAAAACAAACACATTATTGACGTTATTGAAAACGGTTATAAAATACCATTCAAAACCGAGCCTCAACACGCTGTAATTAAAAACAACAGATCGTCATTAAACAATAAGATATTTGTTCAAGATGAGATCGGCAATCTTTTACAGAAAAAATGTATTTCTGAGGTACAACAGGTTCCACAGGTAGTTAACCCTTTAACGGTCGCATACAACAAATCGAGCAAACCTAGACTTGTACTAGATTGTAGACATATAAACATTCATTTGTTCAAATTCAGATTTAAGTATGAAGATACAAAAATAGCCCGAGAAATGTTTCAGAAAGATGATTTTCTGTTTTCTTTTGATCTTAAGTCGGCTTATCATCATATTGAGATTTGTCAAATACATAGAAGTTTTTTAGGATTTTCATGGGATTTTGAAGGCAAAGTTAGATACTTTGTTTTTAATGTACTGCCTTTTGGTTTAGCTACGGCTGGGTATATTTTTTCAAAAATACTACGAGAACTGGTCAAACATTTGAGATCTGAAGGCAAAAGGATCATCATGTTTCTGGATGATGGTTTAGGTGGTGATCGAGATTTGAGCTCGTGTCTTAAAACTAGTCAAGAGGTAAAACAAAAATTGGAAGTTCTTGGATTTTTGATTGCACATGAAAAATGTAGCTGGTTCCCTTCACAGTATGTGAAATGGTTAGGTTATATTTGGGACACAAAGATAGGAAAAATCTGTGTGAGTGATGAGAGAATTGACAAAGCAGAAAAAGCTGCGAATCGTATTTTAAGCGATATTGGTAAAGGGGTACTTTTGTTCAGTGCTCGAACATTGGCTAGTATTATTGGTCAGCTGATTTCAATGCAAATCGTCTTGGGTGATATTGTAAGACTGAACACAAGATTTTTATATGATTGTGTTCAAGCGCGTGCTAGTTGGAACGCACCTGTTAAAATAACAGTAGAGGCTATTGATGAGCTTGGTTTTTGGAAAAACTCTTGCAGAACACTTAATCTTGTAGGTGTTGATATTTATTCGGTTAATTTAACTGACATTTATGATATTGAGTTATTTTGTGATGCCTCAGATGTAGGCTTTGGTGGATATTTCTCCACAGTTTTGGATTTTCAGAGTGAAAATCATGAGATTTATGGAAATTGGTTTGCGGGTGAACAATTTGAAAGTTCTACCTGGCGTGAATTAGAGACGGTAAGAAGAGTTTTGAACACATATGATTCATTCCTTGAAAACAGAACAGTTAAAGTAAATTCTGATAATAAGAATGTGACACATATATTGAATGTTGGTAGCAAAAATTACAAATTACAGAAGGTTGTAACAGATATTCATAAATCTTGCTCGAAGAAGAGTATAGGTTTACAAACCAATTGGGTACCGAGAACTGAGAATAAGCATGCCGATTTTTTAAGTAGACACACTGATCCCGATGATTGGAGTATTGAAAGGAATGTTTTCCATGATCTTAGTTGTAAATTTGGTCCTTTTACTATTGACAGATTTTCTACTCATTACAATGCACAGACCTCTCGTTTTAATTCGAGAATTTGGTGCCCAGGTACTGAGGCAATAAACGCTTTCAGTCAATTTTGGGGAGGTGATACTAATTGGTTAGTGCCACCTCCATCATTAGTTGCCATGACAATAAACAAGATCATTAAGGACAAGGCCAAATGCATGTTGGTTATTCCCGAATGGAAATCTGCTCCTTATTGGCCACTTTTATATAAAGACGGCGGATTTAGAGATTTTATACAAGAGGTTATTTATTTGCCTAGAGACAACATTATAGTAAGGGGTACCGGAAAAAATGGGATTTTTGGTGAAAATCCTCTAAGATTTAGCATGATTGCTTTAGTTATCAAATTT